TGAACTTCAGCTCCTGTTCCCCCTACCCCTTCCAATCCTGTCCCTTCACCGAAGCTGATATGATCTTTAAAGCTCGATCTCGTTGTGTCATCCCTTTGCTCACACCCGTCAGCGTTTTTCCAATTTTCTGAGACTGCTAGGAGCTGAATTATGTTCTTCTAAATTTATGTGTTAAAGTCCTAACTCACAGTGCCTCCGAAAACAGCCGTATTTGGAGATGAGGTCTTTAAGGAGGTGATTCGGTTAAAGTGAGGTCACTACAGTGGCCCTAATTCTACATGACTGGGGTCATCTTAAGAGGAGATTAGGTCATGGCACTCAGAGAAGGATGCCATGTCAGGACCCAGGGACAAACAGTCCTATGGACAAGCCAAGGAGACAGGCCTCAAGAAACGATTGTGCTGACACCCCGATTTCCGACTTCCAGGCTCCAGAGCTATGAGGGGGAGCCTCTGCTGGAGCTAAGCCACGCCAGCTGCGGTGTTTGTCATGGCAGCCCTAGCTAACCGTTCCCGTCTGTTTTTCTGTCGCTAACAACTGAAACCCCACTGGGGAGTTTATAAAGAACAGAGGTTTGTTCAGCTCCTGGTTTTGAAGGGCCAAGGTCAGGGGGCTATATCTGTGAGGGTCTTCCTCTGTGAGACTGGTGGAGACTCACTGAAGAGTGAGTTCTGAGGCAGCGCAGGGCGTCGTGTGGCAAGAGCTTGCATGTGTCTGTGTCCATGTCTCTGTTGGTTTCAGCTCAGTCTCGCTGCCGATTCCAAGGCCAGCAGGAGTCAGTCACGGGAGCCCTACCCCAGTGATTCCCAAAATTCCCACCTTTTATTTATTTTTTATTTTTTTGGAGAGGTTTTTTTTTTTTTTTTTTTGCTATAGGGCGCATGCACTCGCCAGACAGAGAGAGACAGAGAGACAGAAAGCGAGAAATCACCCACCAGGGGGGATGGCCACGCTGCAATCCCTTCTCCTCCATTTTCCTCTTGGGATCTTGGGCACGCACGCACACGTGCCCAGCGTGAGTTTTAAGCCACCAGGTCCGGGACGCGAACCGCGGTTGACTACATAGGAGTCCAGCGACATACCCATTATGCTAACTGCTGGTCCCAAGGCCCCACCTTTTAACACCATAGTGGGATTAAGTTTCTATATGACATAATCAAAGTTTGAAAGTTTGACTTAAATGTTACTTACCAAAAGGAGAAGTAACATTCCCTGCTCTCACTACTCTGTCTAAATAGGGGTCTCTTCTTGTGGTTCCCTCTTTACCTGATCATTCTCAACCAGAATATTTTTTTTTTTTTGAAAGAGATTTTTGCTATAGGGTGCATATACTCACCAGAAAGACAGAGAGACAGCAAGTGAGAAATCACTCCCCCAGGGGGGATGGCCATGCCACAATCTCCTCTCCTCCATTCTTCTCTTGGGATTCTGGGCACTTACTCACATGCACCTAGCATAAGCCACCAGGTCTGGGACTCAAACCATGGTCGACTACGTAGGAGTCCAGCATGGTAACCATTATGCCATCTGCTGGTCCTGTCAACCAGAATATCTTTTTTTTTTGAGAGATTTTAGCTATAGGGTGAGTACGCTCGCCAGAAAGGCAGAGAGAGACAGAGAGACAGAAAGTGAGAAATCACCCCCCAGGGGGGATGGCCACACCACAATCCCTTCTCCTCTATTCTCCTCCTGGGATCTTGGGCACGCACGCACATGTGCCTGGCGTGAGTTTAAGCCACCAGGTCCGGGACTCGATCCATGGTCGACTACATGGGAGATCAACAACATAGCAATTACGCTAACTGCTGGCCTGCAACCAGAAGATCTTAATTCTTTCCTTCATCGGCCTCTTTTTGATTTTAGATTTTATATTTCATTGCCTTTATGATGCAAACTTTCCACATATTGAAACATTTCTGAAATTTTGACACACTATTACAGTTGGTAGTGTGTGTTTATTTTTTCTTTTTGCCAGAGAGCATGTGTGCTTGGAGGGAGGGAGGGAGAGAGAGACAGAGAGAGAGAGAGAGAGAGAAAGCACCCCCCACCAGAGGACTTGGTCATGCTGCAATCCCTTCTCCTCCATTCCTCCCTCCCTTTGGGATCTTGGGCATGCATGCACAAGTGCTCAGCATGGTTTTTAAGCTGCTGATCTGGGACTTGATCCACACAGTTGGTAATGTAGGATCCAGCCACCTTAACCACAAAGCCATGGGCTGGCTGAGCTTTTTCTTTCTTTCTTAGTGACACAAGAAATGGTGAATCTGATGGCATCTTATATCCCGTGAAGTGCAGAGCAAATGTAATTGTATGAGTACTCTCTGCCGTTACATATCAACTTACCATTAATCTGGTAAGTTCCGAAGAGGAAGACCATTCGGCTTCCGTCGGAGCTGCGTGCCCGTTGCTAGCGCAGTGGAAGTGTGTGCTTTGTACAGGAAAGTGTAAATCACGTTGCACGAGTGCTGTCCTTAGAGGCAACATCCTGTGACTGCCTGCAGTCAAATTCGGGCCTCTGACCTACATGGCGTTAGGTCAATCCTACCTCCCAGGTGGTTAAGAAGCACCGATTAAAAGCAGTGTCTGCTTGTGCTGCACGTTCACCCAGCAGGAGGAAGATTAGGACTGGGATGGAGGAAATTGCCCCTCCACCTTCCCTTTCCTTGCCCCAAGTCACTGGTTACCCAAGAATCCAAAGGAAGCGAGTCTCATTTCTGGAAAATGTCACCCATTTGGAAGGGGGCTCCTGAATGAGACAACTCATTTATAAACCCTCTGGGCAGGCTTTTTTTCCCATTAATCTTTTGACCGTTATTTCCATATGGCAAGCTGCCCTCTTGTCGCTCTGTCGGAAAATCCAGAGTGGCTGATCATGCACAGAGCTGCTCCCTGCTTATTTTCGAGGCTCTCGCCCTGCCCTGCCGTGATTGAGCATGGGGTTCCTGTCTTGGGCTCCTGGTTGCAGGCCGTGCTGTCACCAGAAAAGCCTCTTTCACACAAGGAGCAAAGGCCAAGTTTGCAGTGGGGTTTAGGCACGTTCAGCCATGTCCTTTAAGGGATCTAACTCCTCCATGCCCCATGGGGCGCCTGCGCTGGTTGGGCTTGAATATCACACAGGGCTGGGGCCAGTGCCCTGGTGGGGAGGGGGAGGGGAAGGAGCACAGGACTGGGACTGTCAGGTGGGGATGAGCACAACACAGAGGTCACCCTCCTGCCCTCTGGAGGAGGCAGCTGTTAACACACAAGTGTTTCCCTGGGGACCTTCTAAGCACAGCTCTTCCTCCGGGGCATCCCCACCATCATTTAGCTCCTCAGCCAGAGCTGCCTGGCTGCTCTTCTGTGACGGCCCCAGAGAAAGTATGCCCTTCTCCCCACTGGAGAAATAATTCCCATTCTTTCCTTAATCCACAGGCTGTGCTGTAAATACCTGAGCATGCAAACATCTCCCTGGGGCTGGTCGGAATTAGGCCAGAATCAGCCTGGTCTGTGGCACGTACATAGCTGACTAAACCAGGCCGGGTGGGGCGAGTTGCAGGGAATAGGGGGAGAGCGAGAAGGCCAGGTAGGCCTGAGGGACAGGCCTGGCCAGGCTTCGCAGGACCCTCCGTCACTCCTGTTCCCACTCCCACTGCAGGCAACATGCCAGCAGAGCCTGATGCTTAGCTCATGGCATCTGTCCTCCCCCGACACCCTGCCACCATGGAGTGCCCTGCTGGGAAATTCTCAGACAAGCCCTCATAGCACAGTTCACGGGTCTGTCCCGGTAGTGCCTCCAGCTCCTCTTGCTCTGCTCGTCTCCTGACTACCCCACCATGCCCTGCACTGCTCTGGCCTTTCACGGCTGCCATGACTACAGACTGCTCAGCAGGCGTCCCCTCCCAGGCCCCTGGTTCCAAGGCCGACGTGTCTGTAAAGTACAGTTCCAGTCCAAGTCTCAGCTCATTCACGGGCCGTCCATGCGTTTACATAGCCCCGGCTCCTGGCACTAGGGATGCAGTCCAGGGTACAAGAGGCAGGTGTCACCATGAGGTTCAGGCAGGCAGCTGCCTTGTGACGTGCCCCCTGGAAGCTGGAAGGAGGCAGGGGTCCGGCCTTCTGCATGGGTGATGTGGGTGATGCAGGCTCTCCAATGCGGAGGAGAGCCTAGGCTGGAGGGTAGAGACTGTCAGGGCATGGGGGCCCAATGAGCTGGAGTAGTTTGAAGAGTGTGGGGACAATTGTCTAAGAGCTCTTTGCCATGGGCCAGGTGGGGGAACCCCTGGGAGCGAGAGATGAAGGGAAAGGTGCCACCCAGTTTCCAGACCCGTATGGCCAAGGCCCTGTGGCCACAGCAGACTGCGGGGCAGGAGCAGGGACAAGAGTGACTGTGAGAACAAGCCCGTGGTCTGAGTAGCAGGGGTGGCTCCCAGTATCAGACACAGATTGCTCCTCCACAGGGCCTCTCTGGGCTCAGCCTTGCCCTGGGTTGCACAGAGATGCCCTGGTCCCTTCCCTGGTGGTGCCACGTGACATCCGGTCTCGCCCTTGTCTCCAGGTCGGCTGCTTCCTGAAGACCCCGAGGTTCCCCATCTGGGTGGTGTGCAGCGAGAGCCACTTCAGCGTGCTCTTCAGCCTGCGGCCCGAGCTGCTGTGTGACTGGAGGACTGAGAGGCTCTTCGACCTATACTACTACGACGGCCTGGCCAACCAGCAGGAGCAGATCCGGCTGACCATCGGTGCGCTGCCCGGCCCCAGTGTCCTGGGGACCTCCAGGCCGCAAGTAGTCAGAGGACAGTGCACACTCGAGTGACCACACTGGGACACCAGGGAGCAATCTTAGCAGGGCCCTCCCAGACGAAGGGTCAGAGCTGGGCCTTGTGCAGTGAGGCTGTAGGAGGAAGGGCGAAGTGAGACCACGGGGCAGAAAGCCCCATCTGTGCTGACAAGCTGGGCTCACTCTGCAGGCAGTAGGGAGTCATGGCAGGTTTGGAGCTGGCGAGTGATGAGATCAGACATGATACTTTTTAGAAAGTATTAAGGCAGTGAAAGTGGAGTACAGGGTGGAGTGGACACCAGTGGTGAGAGACCAATGAGTTGTCCAGGTGAGACTCGGTGGCCAGGGATGAGGGAGGATCCAGCTGAGTGGAGAAAAGGAGACAGGTGTTAGGAGGGTCGGGTCCCAGGAGCTAGGGTAGTCTGTGTCGGTCCAGGGTTGACATATGCATGCCGCTCTCTCTCCCTCCTCACCAGACACCACCCAGACCATACCTGAGAACAAAGAGGACGACCTTATCCCGCCCCTGGAGCTCTGCATCAGAACCAAGTGAGTCAGGCCCATCCCGACCTTTGAGCCTCACCCCAAATGGCCAGGAGGTAGGGTGTTGGGGGTGGTTGGGCCTGCGGCAGGGAGGGTGGGCTCCTGGATGTCCCCCACTCGAAGGGTGTGGTAGTGAGGCCCTGCAGAGGAAAGGCACTGTGCTTGGGGCTTGTGCACAGTGGGTCTCTCCACTGTGGCCAGCCTCGTCAGCCAGGGTGATGTGTCTTTTTTTCTTTTCTTGGAGAGCTTTTCGTTATAGGGCATGTGCTCACCCAAAAGACAGAGAGAAAGAGAGACAGAAAGTGAGAAATCACCCCCCAGGGGAGATGGCCATGCCACAATTCCTTCTCCTCTATTCTCCTCTTGGGATCTTGGGCATGCACGCACACGCGCTTGGTGTGAGTTTAAGCCACCGGGTCTGGGACTCGAACCACGGTCGACTACATGGGAGTCCAGCGACATAGCTATTATGCTAGCTGCTGGTCCCTGGGTGATGTGTCTTCAGACAGCCCCAGCCAGTGTCCTGTGGTAGGGGCTGGGAACTACGAGTGTGCCTCTGGCAGCCTCTTCTTCCTCAAGGCAGCAGCTGCTGGCCATGGGGAGTGCTGTTAGGTCCGGAGGAGGAAGGACCGGTGGGTTTACCTGGTGGGAACAAGGGCGGCTTGAGTGCGTTTAGACAACGGAGGTACTTGGCACTCCGAACACTGAGCAGAGGAGAGTGGGGGCCCTTGACTCCCCTAGCCCAGCCTGTGTTTAAGGGGAGACTGAGTCAGGCCACTTTCCTCCTGCGTGCTCTGGAGGGCTGGTGGGGTGGCAGCTGTCGAAGTCCCAGCTTGCTCCAGCAGGCCTCTCACAAAGTGGTGGGTGACAGCCTGGGGAGCTTGGCCTGCGGTGGGAGGAGCAGCCCGGGAGGGAAACACCTGGAGTCTTGGCCCACGGGGAAGCAGTGCAACTTGTAGCCATTGTTCACGGGTCCGGAGCCAGGCTGCCGGGGGTCGAACCTGCTCGCTTCCCAACCGGGACCAGTTGAACCTCACCAGTCTGTCTCTCACTGTCATCTGTACAGTGGGGATAACGGCAGAACCTAGCTCTCCTGGGTCTTGGGAAGAGTGCCGGGGGCACCCCGAGGGCGCTGCCATGTCCCCTGGTGATCATGGTCTCGGCCCCTCGCTCTCTGCGTGACCTCAGTGCGTGTCCATTCCTCGTCTGTGAAGTGGCCGGGCCTGGGGTCAGGGCTGTGGTCAGTGGCTGAGACCCTGCAGCTCTGCTGTCTGAAATGCAGCCGTCGTCACTGCTCACTGCAGGCCAGCAAGTCCCTGAGTGGAGCCGGACAGAGAAAGTGAGCGAGTGAGAGCGCACTGCGTGTGTGCTGCGGACACGCCAGGAAGGGGAGTGGGAGGGTGCTCTGCGGGTCCATCTGTCTATCCACCTCCTGCTCGCACTCTGGGCCAGGGAAGAAGCCTTCTTGCCGGGACATGTGCCCGTGCTTCTGTCATCGGGAGTATTGAGGACACACGCAGGTCACTTTCCTTTCATGTACAAAGGGCCACTCATTCCGAGTGATGAAGGAAGGGCAGCAGTGGGGAGAGCAGGTGACGCTGGCCTTGAGACCGCACGTGGGACAGCGTGGGAAGCCACGGGGCGGTCTTCCTGCAGGTGGTTGCTGAGCAGGATCCAGACTGCACCCTGGGCATGGCCTCAGCTTCCCTCTGACGCCCTTGCTGAAAGCCTCTGATCATCTCCCTCCCACAGCATGGCCACCCCCAAACCTCCCCTCTGCTGCTGCTTCTGGGGTAGCTCTTCTTTCTCCTGAAATTGTCCCGCTGCACGGCTCACCATCCACCTCCCAGAGTGGGCCCAGGATTGGACGTCTTGGCCTCAGCCCTAATGGGCAACTGCTCGTTTGAGAATGACCAGGGGCCCTGGCCTGTCCCCAAGGCAGTCCCTCACCCAGAACCAACATGACTTACGCTCAGTCTGGAAACATTCGCTCTCTTTCTTCTGGCGGCCTCTCTGCCCTGGCCACGTGCCAGCAGGTGGCAGTGAAACGGTGAGGGAAACTGGAAAGGCTGCCTGCGTCAGGGAGCGAGCCCGCCGTCTGGGGACAGATGGTCCAGGCCTGGCCCTGCCCTGCCTACACCTCTGCGTATTGTCCCGTGAGCGAGGACAGGGCCAAGCGCCAGCAACTCCTGGAGCAGTGCGTCCCAATCCTGTCACAGGTGGAACAATCAGATTTATGCAGCTTATAGTTAGGGACAACTAACCTGGGGACGCCGACTGCCTGATGGCTGAGGGAACCCGTACCCGCTTATGGTTCCCCATTGGGAGATTTGGCCTCCTTTGGAGGCTCTGTTAAAATGCAGATTGCCGGCCTCGCTTCTGGGGGCTCTGATGCACCAGGCCCGGGGTCAGGCTGGGAGTCTGCATTGATGTCTAAGGTGTTGGTGTGGCTACTGCTCTGTGGTCCACACTTGGAGAACTGCTCTGTAGTGACGGGTGAGGGCAGCGTCACCCCTCCCGTTCCCCGTGGTCACATCACCCACGGGACCAGGAAGACTTTCTTTTTGCCTCTGCTGGCTGCCCCTGCCCCGCCCCTCAGGTATGAGCTCTAGATCATCTCCAAGACTGTCCTGGCACCACCTGCCATGGTGTGTCCACCCGGGCAGTTAACACAGACTTTTCCCAGCATCAGTCCCGGAAGAGCTGAGCGGGTGAGCGCGCAGTGGGAACACGGCCCCCCATCAGATAACATGCCGCTGTAATGGGAAACAGCAGGCCCGGCCTCCAGGAATTCTTTTCCATGGGGTTGGATTACAAAGGCTTTGCCTTTTGTTTTCATCCCAAATTCTCAAACAGCTCCAAGGGAGAAACTTGGGACAGTGGCCTTCGAGGTCATGGGAGGACCTGCTGGAGACAGGTCCTGCCTCCAGGAGGCTAAGTCCTATTGCCTGTGGGAAGACCCGCCTCGTCCGGAACAGGGTACGCATGATGCCACGGCTGAACTCAGGTCATCCCAAAGGGCAGAGTGAGAGTCCGAGCAGTGGATGAGATGCCAGAGTGTGCGCGGCTGCCCTGTCCCTCCAGCTGGGCGGGCTGGGTGCAGGACAGACCAACCTGGCAGGCAGGTGGTTTCCCTCCCAGTGCTTTGGAGCCTCAGTGGACAACCAGGTCAGACTCCATGGAAGAACAACTAGATAAGACTTGGCTTCCGTTCCCAGAGAGTTCACAGACAGAAGTCAGGTTCAGAACCAGCCCTTTTCCAACCCAGGAAAAGAGGTGCTGCCTTTACACCCAGCTCCCTTGCCCTGCAAGGGCCCGGACCCTTACCTGACCTGGCACTGGACACCCACACATCTGGCCATCAAGTGGCTTACTGGGCTCCACAGAAAGACCTTGAACACCACTGGATTTAGCTCCTTATACAGATGGGGAGATAGAGGTCCCTGGAATGGAGGTCCATGGCCCAGCCACCTCGAGTCACAAGTAGCAGAAGGGCTGGAGCTGAGGCCCTTGCCTCCCAGCCCAGGGACAGGTCACTGAGTGGACAGTGTGACTTCCCATCACCTGGCTTTGGTGGCATTGCACAAGCCCAGACTGTCGGCTTTGCCTTCGGAGAAGAGCATCCTAATTTGAACCTTCCCTGGGTCCTCGTGCTGTCTCTGCTCTTGGTGACGCACGTCTCAGCCTCGGAGAGTCTCCTGTTACCTTTGCTTGTGTCAGGAATGTGGGGTCTGCCCCCCCTCCACCGCTGTTCTCTGACATCTCAGCAAAAACAGACTCATTTATGGTCATTTCCAAACAAGACGCACACAGTGACCTCTCTCATGCTTCCAGCATCGCTAGAGCAAGAGAGAATGAAACAGTTGTCAGCAGTCCAGGGGGAAAAGGAAGGAGCTCATAACCGGGGCCCGAGGCTGGGTCCCAGCTGTTTGTTTGGAGGCTCAGAGCAGAAATTGGAAATGTAATTCCAGCTGGGAATGGTGCCTCAGAGGGGCTGGGGCAGGGCCTACCCAGAGGAGCCTCCCGTCCCAGCTCTCATGCCGACATCATGCTTACCTGGCATTGTGTCCACAGCACCTTTCGCCCATAGAAGGGACGTTCCCTGGCGCTCCCCCTGTCTCCCTGTCCACACCAGCCGTGCTCTCCTGACACCCTGCTCTGCTCCGGCTCTGCCGCTGTGAACTCTGGTTCCACTCCGGGCCTCGGTTTCCCATCTGCTGACTGGGTACAGCTGTCCCTTCCCTGAGCTGGCGTGAGGCCGAGGGGAGAGCGGCAGGGCCTCTCTGCCTCGGAGTAAGGGCTCACACTTGTGGGTGAGGAGGGGAGCGAATCGGGTGGTGTCAAACAGTGCAAGGGCTGGGGAGGGGGTTAGCGGAGGGGACTGAGACATGGCGGTGGCACAGGTCACAGGGTTCTGTGACTGCCTGGCTTAAAGGTAAGGGAAAGCGCAGTGTGAACGAAGACTTGGGTATCCAACGAAGACCTGAGAGGGTGGCGTCCAGGGGGAGGCGTCCAGGAGGAGCAGTGGGCTGAGTGCACGTGTTACTGCAGCCCACCTCCAGATGCCTCAGACGGGGGTAGGGGGGACCTTTGCCCTTGAGGCTGGCTTCCAGGGGACCTCCAGGGGCCTGGCAGTCGGAGAGCATTCTGCAAGGACGCCGCCTATGTCTGTTCCTGAAGGCCATGGGCCGGGAGGAGGACGATCGTTCCAGTAAAGGGTCCGCCTGTCCGAGGGTCCGCCTGGCCCATCTGAGAGCCACTCCAGGCTCAGATAGGCTGGAGCATGGAATCGGAAGCTTGCACATGGGCTTCTTTGGAAGTTCAGGAAGTGAGGAAGAGTAATCCCTGGAGGTATCATTATTTCTCCAAGTCAGGAGCTTTGAACCAGCCTGCCGCCCTCCTCGAGAGGCAGGCTCCCATGAAATACCGCTTCATCAGTGCTGAGTATCTATTGAGGCTCTCCCACGCTGTGCTGTGGCAATGGCTCCTGGGGAGGAACGGCCTCATCTG